GCCTTGGATTAATGTTTCCTGGTTTTCTGAATTATAATAGAGAAGTGTGAACTTTATCCTGGACTACTTTTGCTCCTGCTTAACTTCTTACCTAATTGGATTTACCTATTCCTTTAAAGTGCTTTTTTTTACTTTGCTGTTTTTAAATCATCTTCAATAAAAGGATTGTTTTCTAATCAACAATGTGGTGTTTACTGTCAGAGGGCTTTTCCTGTCCTGAAGTGCAACACCACTTACTGAAGAGATGACTTCACTTAAGAGGATGATGGCTCACCCAATAACATAGAAAGGAAACTGAAAATCTCTGTTTCCACATCCTCATTCACACACCTGCTACTACTAATATTCTTGGGTGGACCGTCCTTCTCATCATACTTTCACAGATACTCTGATATATAAACATGAGCTGATGAATTTGACACCATTTATTGCAGTAAGGTGTGAATCTAAGTGCATATTAAAATCCATCATATGAGCTCTCCATCTGTCTGTAGCCTACAAATATTTGAAAAAAGAATATATAAGAGGTCACAGCTGATTTAACAGAAATCTATCCAGGAACAAAACTGGCAAATGTAAGCCTTTACCCTGTTTATTTGACAGTAAATTCAAAAACTTAATTACGCATACCCACTTAAGAGATATGCCCACTCACATGGAATTCACCACAACAGTAGAGACTTGTAAAGTTACTGAGATGTTTTTGTCATCCTGAATTACAGAGTGAAAATAACATGTGATACCACATTATAGCAATGAAATTTATTAAGTGCAAAAATTGACAGTATTAAATCACAAAATAAATACATTTTTAATTTGACGTAGTATAATCTCTCAATTTCTCTATGCCAGCACATTTCAAAAGAAGCTATAGCCTAACAAGTCTGTGGCAAATATGACTATTTTAACCCATTCAACAGTACAAAATCTATGCAATGCACTTCCTACTCTGCTTGCGAAATTACAGCCAGGGACTATCATGGAACAATACTTCCAATGTCAATTTCTAGAATGGGTTGCAAACAAACTTCGCCAAAGATATGGACAGGAAGCCTACATTTGGGAATTCATGCCCATGAGAATGTTTGGACAGAAATTACAGACTTAGCTTGAATCACATCTGGAAGGATTTCCCCCTCCTAAATGGCAAGGGTCAAGCCTGGGATGTGTAGTGTGTTTGTTCATAATCAGCTACCCCTAAAGAGGGACAGATTATTCCAAGTTAGATAAAAGTTTGGAAGCTTCTATGTCAGTAGATTGAGTCCAGGATTTGGTCTAAACGTTTATGAAGCTATCCAAGGTGCTGAACCCCACCTGAAGGTAGATCCAGAACATTATATGAATAGATAACTCCTTTAAAGTTCTCACTGAAACCTGGAGCAAATTCACCAGCACCATGTGGCATGGGAGCCTGGACACTGGAAACTGACCTTAATTAGCATTATAAGATTTATTACTAAGTACTTAATCAGGGAAATAGTAGCCCTACTCAGGCATATGAGCTTTTCCCATGACATGACTCCTCTAACTCTGTGCTTCCTGTACTCAGTACATGGGCCCTTCCAGACAGGCCCTATATCCCTGGATCTGATTCCAGATTTTCTGATCTAAACTGCATTATATGAGTCCACACTGCCAGATAATCAGGGATAAATAGAAAACCGGGATCAGATCCTGGGATATAGGGCCTGTCTGGAAGAGCCCTAAAATGATAATGTGAGAGTGCCCATTTACCACCCTTCAAAATCTACAAGCTATGGTAAAAAATATTCTGGAAAAACTAAGCACAAGACTTTTTAGAGGTGGGGTCCTGCTTCTCTGTGTTATGACATTTTTACAGTGGTAATATTTGTTTGTTGCCTGTTTCCTTTTATTTTCTTATTTTCTGCACATGCTTTAAACTCTTTTATGTGATCATCTCTAGATTTCTGGCTAAAACTCATCTAAAATCTTTACAAACAGAACTATAATGGTCTATGCCATGCATACATGCAAAGAACCCATCTTTGGATGGGCTGCTGACTTAAAATGAGCCCTGGCAAACTTCTAGGCATATCATTGGGAATAAACACTTAATATGTTAACTTGTATGCATGATTGAAAGCACCACACATACCAAAAGCTCTAAACCTTGTACTATGAGACTATGTGGAAAACCATCTTCAGTATGTATATGTGCATATTTCACACTGTTTTAACTATACATACACACCACAAAGCATACACATTAAACACATATCACTCATTGAGTATGTAAGTTTACAGTTTTGGACCATTAATTAGGAGTTTTACACACCCTAATAACTACTGATGCAAAGAAAGAAGGGCTTGGCTTCCAGAACAGCCTTTCTACTGAGACACATACAACTGGAAACTATGTAAAAGAAACACAGTTCAGTTCCTTTAATGTGACATCCAGGGAGTTTCCAAGTAAGAGGATGAGTTCTTTGACACAGAAAGCAGAGACAGAAGGCACCTTGTTCTTGAACCAGTAAATTTCAGCTCTCAATTTTTCTCAGATTATATACGTTCATGAACACTATAACCAGGGATCTCACCAAAGGAGGGAGGAGGGAAACCCACATTCATAGAAAACTGTTCATACTTGCTTGCTACAGATGCTCAAATGAGTTATTGCTAGTCAGATATGGATGGAAGACGTGGGCATTTTGTCATTCTCTTCAATTTTATGCTACAACAGTAAAAACTAACAAACTCACATCGAGAAGCTAGCTAATTTTGCTTTTACTCTTGCAAGACTGGCAATGTGTTCTCAACACTTTGGAAGAAAAAAAAACCTATGATTGAATGCATATGGCATTCCACTTTCCTAGATAGGAAGAAGTGAGATGGGAAAGTTAGAAACGCAGGCTATCATTCCTCAACCTTTCATTCTTATATGTGGCACTGAGCTATATACAGAACACAGTCCATTACTTCATTTCCTTTCCAAAGAAGCAATTATAGTAATTAAGTCACACATTTAAAGTAGTGCTGTGCCTTAGTATTAGGTCACTCGCTCGCTCTAGCTGTGGATGAGCAAAACAAAGTTTTGGATCCTGAAAACACGACACTAAAATATATGTATCTGGTTGATCTTCGTTTCCAGAAGTTCATACATATTTAAACCTAGCCAGACAAACTAAAAGAAATTACTACCCCCTGCCTTTGTGTTATAAAAGGGTTAACTTGTTTAATACTGCCTGGTGATCTCAAATAGAGAGAAACAAAGTTTTTTTTTTAAACTTGTTACAGCTGATCTAGATGTGCTGGTGAAACTTCATGTGTTTTCCAAAGAAAAGAAACTAAATCGAAACATGATGTTCTGCTTGGGTAACCTCTTAGATCAGTGTTTTTCAAACTTCCTAATGCCCTGGCCCCTTAATACAGTTCCTTATCTTGTGGTGACCCCCAACCATAAAACAACTTCCATTGCTACTTCATAACTGTAATTTTGCTGCTGTTACGAATCGCAATGTAAATATCTGATTTGTTGTTCATTCATTCAGTCGTTTCCGACTCTTCGTGACCTTATGGACCAGCCCACGCCAGATCTCCCTGTCGGCCGTCACCTCCCCCAGCTCCTTCAGAGTCAAGCCAGTCACTTCAAGGATGCCATTCATCCATCTTGCCCTTGGTCGGCCCCTCTTCCTTTTTCCTTCCATTTTCCCCAGCATAATGGTCTTCTCTAAGCTTTCCTTTCTAAATATCTGATATGCAAAATGTAATACTGGAAGGATTTGGTGGGCACTGATCTTGAGTTTTGGAGTTGTAGTTCACTTACATTCAGAGAGCACTGTGATCTTAAATAATGATGGATCTGGATCAAACTTGGCACAAATACTCAATATGCCCAAATGTGAACACTAGTGGAGTTTAGGGAAAATAGACCTTGACATTTGAGAGTTGTAGTTGCTGAGATTTATAGCTCACCAACAATCAAAAAGCATTCCGAACCCCACCAAAGATAGAATTGGGCCGAACCTCCCACACAGAACCCCCATGACCAATATAAAATACTGTGTTTTGTGATTATCTTTGGCGACCCTTCTGACATCCCCCTTTCTTGGATAAACAGAAGCAGAAGTATTCTAGAACCTTAATATTTTATTTCTATGTGGACAGCTACACTTTTACTGAAAAACAAAAGTGGCTTGTATCTTTCTCCTCGTGATTCTTTGGATCCAAAACAATACTTAGCTAACACAAACCAACTATGTTGGCCACACCTTAGTAGAAAACCCTTTTGTGACCCCTTTAACCTTACCATACCCAGAATAAAAGGCTGTGCTAACAGCACAGGATTAGCACTACGGGGAAGATTGTTTGGAGTAGAGAATAAATGTCACAACAGGCACTCAGAAGTGACGCAAACTGGCATCAAGAAAGTTTGGCAGGATTTGTTGCATAGTTACCAGCATACCACACAGAACAAACTTAAGTCACGCTACTCACCTGAGATTTTACTAATACCTCACATTTCCTCTACTAACAATATAATCATCACAATCAACTTTTTAATCCCTCAGCCTATGGAAACAGAGGTTAAGATCATGGGAAACATGGTGCAGCAATGCAAAAGTTGTCACTAAAGAAATCTATACTGCACAAGCCAATTTCAAATTTAAAAAATGCTGTGTTTAGAAAGTTGGTAGAATGTTTGGAACAATTCCGATTCTGGAGTTATCTGCAATTTATTAAGGTGGGTTGATTCAGAATTTATCAGAGATATTATTTAAAATATGGTATTTATTTGTGTTATTGCTAATGCAACAAATCTTATATTTTAAATAAGGCTGAATTTCAGTGCAATGTAACAGCTGATAGAAAAATAGAATAGTACGATTTTGAGAAAAGTTATTGATATATGATCCAAACTTTATTATTAGTCCCATCATCATCATTACTACTATTTCTATCCTGCCTTATTTCTCTTAAAAAGGGACCCAAAGCAGCTAACAAAAAAGCAAGACAATACATATTTTAAAACGTGAAAACACAAAAATATGGAATACTTCACAAATTTGTGTGTCATTCTTGCTCTGGAGCCATGCTATCTCTTCTTTGTATCATTCTAATTTTAGTAGATGTTCTGCTGAAGTGAGTTTTAAAGGCTTAATTTCAGTGTTTGCATAGCAAGAAAATATGTCAGCTAGCACACATATTTGTTTTATTTTATGCTTTACTATGATCACAAAAATAGCTACAGCTCAATTTTAATTGTATCTAACATATTCTATTTTTTAAGACACATTATAATTCTACTTAGTTTGGTAGTCTGTATAAACAACTGAATATACTGAGATAGGATGGAAGGAGATGATACTAAAAACATATCCTCTCAATTCTGTGTTTGTACTATAATGCTATTGCAAAGTGGACATTTGCTGGAGAGAATGAATCATCACAAAAAGGTTGTTCAATCTTTTCTTCACCTGGAAATATTTCTCTGATATTTTCTCCTAATCACGTGACTAGCTTGACACAAATTGCATACTGTAGTTTGCCAACACCACTTTCTGGACCAATTGATCCAATGATGGGAATCAAATGTTCCTGGGTTGGAGGAGAAGGCTGGCCCATAACATTTAGCTGCTTGAAATCAAGAACAAGATATCACCTTTCTATGTTCAGAATTTGTAACCTCTGGCAACTGAATCTTTAACACTGGTGTTATGACAGTGTATTTCAACATATCTGGAGGTTAATACAGGCAGACCACAGGTTACGAACAAGATAGGTTCTGAATGTTTGTTCTTAAGTTGAATTTGTATGCAAATTCAGGTACATTTTTAAGTGTAACTCAAGCCAAACATGTGTTTGTTTGTTTGTTTTGGATAGCATAAGGAAGGCTTAACACCATGGTAACGTTTGTTTTGATGCCTATGCCCCTGTTCAGAAGATTTCAGCTCATTTTCTGTCTCTGTGACAAATGGATTTTGAAATTTTTGGTTTGTTGTGGAAACAAGGATTGGTAATAAATCTTCAGTTGAGACACCTTTCCCCATGATAACTCTTTCAGGAGTGAATTTCCCTTCCTAGGAGTAGATTTCTTTCACTTCCTGTTGTTTCATCCCTATTAGTAACTAGAGGTCATATATAAGTCATATGTTTGTAACTCGGGGACTGTATAATGGCTTAGTGAGCAAAAGGCAGTTATCAATCCTTAAAATAGCTTGCTGTCAATCCTTGCCCACAGCAATTGCTACTAGAAGTGGTTACCCTCACCTTTCTAATGAGATCTGCTGGGGCCCTCCCGTGTCCCACTATTGTGAGAAGGTAGGAAAGGGCCTTCTCGGTCTGGCATGCTAATTATGGGATGTATTCTTTTTGGAGGCTCAGTTGGCACCAGCACAGGCTTCATGTTGGTGCTGTTTGGCCAAATGTTATGAAATCAGTTTGCCACAAGCAAACCAAACAATCTAGCCAGACAAAACAACAAAAAACCCACAAGAACCTATTGAGTAGAATATATGAAAGAAAGGCAAAATGAATATTTATTTTGACCCAAAACAGACCCAGGTTCTGCATCCAGCTGCCCAGTAATATCTAGCATTTGTCCTTGAATTTCCCTGTATAGAAAAATACCTACAGTTAGGACTGTGTTCATTACATCAAAAATGTTTTTTTTAGAACTATTTGGAAAACATCTGTTGCTAGGCAGTCACAATGGACTACCACCACCACCATCACAAAAATGATGGAAACAGCATCATCACTGCCATCATCACCACCTCCTTAAAAAAATAGCTGGCCAGCACTTCCTAGTTGTCATTAACAGTAACAGAAAGGTCTAGGCCTGGGAAACATCTCTGGGAGCAGGTCCTGTTAGCTCTGCTGCTAACCTGTAGAAATCAGCAAAGAAAAGAAAACATCCTGCTGGGTAGACAATGGGGCCTCTCTCACTCTTTTACTGCACATGGAGAGATCACTTCTCCTTCAACTATTCTATTTCCAGATTGCTTACGAGAGTTAGCACACCATCTAATCCCTCCAGTTTTCAGGGCTGTCATTGAAAAGGTAACCACCGTATGGCAACCAAGACACCACATTCAATTTTCACTTAGATCTAAGGAAGTAAGTGTATACCTTTTGGGGGCTGGGAGCTGTCAGTCAGAAGGGATCAGATAGCAGATTTAGAGGGACAGGCTGATGTTCTCAGGAAGATCAATGAAGATGTAGAGTTCACAGATGACACATGGTTGGTTTTAAAAGCTCAGGAATGACAGGAATGGGGGTGAGAAGTAGTGGGGGGTGGGAGGCAGGGTCAGCATTGAAAGAAGTTGAAGTAGGATGACACAAGAAGCAACAACTGGTTCACCAAATAGCACAGGCAGGATGATTCTAAGCAGAGGAATGTCTCAGGATTCACTGAATTAAGTGTCACAAAGACATTGTTATTGGGGTAGGTTACAAAAGCAGGAGATGATATAAGGGGAAAGTTATGGAATACATAACCTCTAGCCTATAAAAGAGGAAACATCACAATTGAATCCAAGCCTTTCAGGAAAAAAGCTTCTTACTCTTCCAATCACTGAAAAATCTGGGAATATTTATTTTCGGGCTAAAAATTGTGTGTTCAGGTCAACTAATAATCATAACATTAAAATACAAGCAAAATTAATTTAGAAACATAAAAACAGATCATTTGAAAACACAGGCCTACATCAGAGTGCAAGCTCCAACTATAGTACATTCACTGAATCTGAGGTCTTCTCTAAGCAGCACCAGAGAATTTAGTTTCCTTGAGAAGAGATAGTTTAGAGTTATGGCAGCCTTGTGCATTCGTTTCATTTATGAACATTCAAACATACTGCATTGGAAAATTAGATCCCTGAAGCAGGTAGTATTTCCTTACTATTACTTACTTATTATTTACTTTCGCCCCTCTCATCCCGAAGGGGACTCCGAGCAGCTTCCAAGTTGGTAATAGAGCTGTGGATCCAGCATCAAATTCCCAGAGGGATCAACTGCTTGGACTCTGAAAACTGCCCTGTTCTCTAAGTATGCTGAGTGTGCCATACTCTGCTTCAAAAAGGCCTGATCTTCATTTAATGCCATTTCTTCCCAGTTCAACACTGCGACTACAACATTGTCGTATCACCCTTCACTGACAGCTAGTATCTTTTGAATATGAGTCTCCCACACATATTAATTTAATTGTGATCTGCCTTGGATTTCATTTCAGGGGAAAGCAGGGTTAGAAATCAATAATATAAACTTAACTGATGCCTAGATTTCTGATCATCACTGTCTTCTCATTTTGCACTTTCATTTTGAGAATTACACTTACATAGACTTCAGAAAAACAAGGATCTTGCACGTAATGTGAACTACTGATTTTCCAAAACCCCTCAACCCTTTCACACGTCTGTTCTTTGACTGAATGCCTGCTCATTTATTTCATTTGACGAAGCACATGGAATAATTTAAAGCAAGAACAGTCAGAGGATGGCTTGCAGAAAGACCTTTTAGTCATATTACAGTGGGTGTAACTTCTATATAAAAAATGTAATGTTAGTTTGTGGGATTAACATAACTCAAAAACCACTGGACGAATTAACACCAAATTTGAACACAATACACCTATCAGGCCACTCATAAAAACATTGAAAAACACAGTGGAAGGGACTTCAAAAGCCAAAAAAAGCAAAAAGATGATACTCTGCATGCGCAAAAACCACTCCCCCTGGCAAATTAAACACACAATAGCATATCCACACTCTTTTCCAGGCTATAGCTCTCAGCATCCCCTAGACCAGGCCCTTTAGGAGAAGAGGATGGGCCAAATGCACAGCTTCCAAGATGCAAGCTTTCTTCTCCTTGGATTTCTTTGAGAGCATCCCAATCCCTGCATATTTCCAATTTCCTATTCCTGGACTGCAACTCCCAGCAATCCTCCACATAGATAAATAGAGCTAGGTGTGAATGTTTCAATTGGCCACCTTGATTAGCATTTGATGGCCTGAAAGTTTTTAGGTGTGGCTTGTTACTGCCTGGGAGAATCCTTTGTTGAGAGGTGATTAGGTGTTCCTGATTGTTTCTTGTCTGGACTTCCCTATGTTTGACTTTTGTTCTTTATTTACTGTTATAATTTTAGAGGGTTTTTTTTTTGTAATACTGATAGCCAGATTTTGTTCATTTTCATGGTTTCTTCCTTTTTGTTGTAATTGTGGATTTCAATTGCTCAGTCTGAGGATGCCTGCCACGGATGCAGGCAAAACGTCAGGAGATAATGCTTCTAGAACATGGCCATACAGCCTGAAAACCCCCGCCTATCTCCACGATCGCATCTCCTTCTATGAACTGGCACAAGTTCTAAGATCTTCTGGGGAGGTCCTCCTCTCGGTCCCACTACCGTCTCAAGTGCGGTTGGTGGGGATGAGAGAGAGGGCCTTCTCAGTGGTGCCCCCCCGTCTCTGGAACGCCCTTCCAAGGGAAATAAGACAGGCCCCATCCCTCCCCTCCTTTCGTAAGAACTTGAAGACCTGGTGGTTTCATCAAGCCTTTGAAAATGACTAGTTCTAACTCAGCCCCACACATTGTCTAATACGGCCTTATTCTTCCTACCAGTTACCCAGATGCTTTCCTCTAATCGGCCCCAGAATGAACAGCCACAGACCCATACCTAATATTATTGTTGCCTGCCATAGCATTGCAGTTAATTCCCGGGTCCCCTAGAATTTTTGGGCTTGCACAAATCTTGGCCCGGCCTTTTAATTTTTTAATTGCCTTGAAAAGGCAGGATTACTTTTAATATTTGTGTATTATGGAGACAATTTTTGTGCTTATATTTTGTTTGTCAATCTTATGGTTATGCTGTTTTTACTCTGTATGTTTTGTGATGTTACTTGAGAACTGCTCTGAGTCTCCTCGGGGAGATGGAGTGGTATATAAATAAAGTATTATTATTATTATTATTATTATTATTATTATTACAACTGCTTTATTTTTATGCACTGGCATATTCTCTGTTTCCTAACTGATCAGAGACAGTAGATGATTCAGTCTAACAACTGAAACCAATTGCCTTGCATAATTATATTTGTATACCACTTGAGAAGATTCTACTCAAATGGATTTTGGCTCTTTATTAAAAAGGTTAT